CAACCGCCCCGGCTGTGTCAACTTTCTTCCTCCCAGAAAGACCTGGGTGTGACAGCGAAGGTGACACTGTGTCACCCTGCCGAGAAGCCTCTAAGGCCCTCTCTTGTTTGAACAAGGCAGAAAGAGCCAACCCTCCCTCCAGAGAGATAAGCAGCTACCAGGACACCCAAATGATACATATTTTGCATGCAGGTCATTTCCCTAAATTCATTTCAGTTGCAAATCCTGGAGACAAAGGGGAGTCAGGAGGCTGCCTTCCCCCCTCCTAGGCCAACGTGGGGCTGATCCAGCAGGAACCATTTCTACGATGCAGCATAGATGGGTCTGCAACTGAAGGTGGTTTTGGAGGCTGAAAAAATGGTCCACGATGCAGCAGTGAGGCAGTTAGCTAGGAACCGGACCTGGTCATAAACATATTATACCTTGGGGGGGTTTTCAGCTGCACTGGCTCCCAGTTGAGTCCAAAAGAGTTTGTTCTCACCAGTCGGCGTTTGGGCACCAAGAGGCTTACAGACCATGTCTGTCCCCATAGCGTTAAAGAGATATAGCGCCGGGAAGGGACTTTGCAAGGTGCTGCTCAACAGCCTGTCAGCTCTCCTTTCAGAAAAGGACTGGCACGTGGGAAACGGAGCCGGCTTGTTCTCTGTGTCTCTTCAAAGCCAAGGGTTGGTCAGGCTTTGTTAGAACCCCAAGATCCATGAAATGGAACTCGGCACAAGAGGCACACGCAGTTTGAGTGAAACAACTGGGCACGCCTGAGTAGAGGCTGAGCCTGGGGGCCTGTCCTCAGAACCAGAGCAGAACTGAACGCCACAGGCTTTTCACCCAGAACATCCATTCCTGGGTATCCAAAGCTTTTTGAAGATCAGCAGCCGACTGTACGTAGGCAAAGTCAACCTGGGATGGGACTCTGTTGTGGCTGCGGTTCAGGGGCTGGGAGAGGGACGCCCTTTGTCCATCGGCTGTGGGTCACCGAGAGATCTACCAGTTGGCCCCAGCTTCTCCACCGTGATCTGGGTTCTCCAGTAGAGACCTTTCCTCAGGTCCCTGGGCATCCAAAGTGTGCTTGGTTGCTACGGGGGAGGGAACGGACTCCTTCCTTGCCACACCTCATCTGTGCCATGCTCTCCTTGGCGAGAGTTGCCTGGCACCAGCCTTGAGGCCATTTTCAAGCAAAGTGGCCTTCTTACGGCTTCCTTGGCTCTCTTAATCATCCACTCCCTTCCTTTTCTGCTGATCGGCGCTTCTTTTAATTCCCCCAGTTGCATTCCTGCTGTTCTTTCATAGGATGATGCCTCCATGTTTTTCTATCCGTCTGTCCTCTTGTGTTTAACCTTGTATCATCCTCCCTTGGAACTTGTTGGCGGGGGAGGGGGGGAATGTGAAAGGAATAAAATATTCTTCCTTGCCTTGAAATGTAGAGAAGATCCTAGGCAAAATGTGTGTGTATGGTGCGGTCACACCGCTGTGTCTCTTAGCTTCACAAGAGGAAGCAAAGGAGAAAATAAGAGGAGGATCTGCTACCCAGTGGGGCAGCCCCTTTGGAGGTCCAAGGGGCACTGAGCTAAAATATATGGCTTTTCACCAAGGCCCTTCGGAGCTTGACGTCAGTAGGTTTTGAAGACGTTAAGTAGTTCGAATTGGATATATTTTAGACTGTTTGGGGATGTTTACTCTGTTTGGTATCATTTAAACCATTTGAAAATGGTCTGAATGGCTCCTTATTCTACCTCTCCTGAGATTTTCTGATAGAGAGTGTGATACAAATAGCCAAAGGAAGACAGACAGACAGACAGAAAGGGGGGGAAACATTTTGCAGTGGGTCCATGCTAAAGTCCCTCCCCAGTTCTCACATGCCCCAAGAAATAAGAGTGGAAATGTTGCCAGTTGCTACTCCATGCCACATAAGGCCAGCTCTGACTGCCCCATCCCTTTGGGGGGTAGAGGACATCCGTGCCCCAGAGGGAAAAATAAGGCCTGGTCTCATCCTGCAAAGCCTTGACACCCATCTTGCACAGATGCTCAACACTTTAAAGGCACGTAGCATTAAGGCTGCCCTGGATTCCTGCTCCTGAATCTCTGCCGGCCGTTAGTATAATTACACACGTCATAAACCTATCGGGGAGGTGAAGTGTGTCATTGTGAGATACTTTCTCCTCTGTGTGCATGTAATTCAGATAATCCAGGACTCATTACAACCCAGGGGCCCCGCCCGGCTCACTAGGGCACAGGGAAGCCCAGACTTTGGACTTCCACAAGAGCCTGAAGGTGTGGCACCATGTAGGGGAAAGGTTTCCCCAAACGTAGCTGCCTGTTTGTAGCGTTACCTTAAGAAACCGTTCCTCTGCCTGCATGGCACACGGGCCCTGACGATGCTTAAGCCCCCCTTTGGAAGTGGGGTCTGCAAAAGCATGCTGGTGTTTTAAGCGCATGTCTCCTGTGGCAGGAAAACGGAATTCAAGCCCTTTGATTCATGGAATCAATTAATGCAGGCCAGGAAACCTTCCGAGTTCCGTGGCTTGAACCAGGCTCCTCCACTTCCTGAACCCGCTTCGCGGAGAATGATGCACCATTTGTACATGCAAGAAGAGAAGAAACAGACCCCAAAGCACAGCCCGGCTGCTACAAAATGAGACAACCTCAAATGCCATCTTGGCTGATGGATAACTTTAGCATTTCCTTCATTTACTTAGGAGCAGGTTTTCTCCTCGATTCATAATTGGCCCGCATGCAGGTCTCAGCCTTCCAAAAGAATGCATTGAGTTGACAAACGGGGTTTCTGCTCAAACTGCCACCTCCCCCTTCTTTGCTCTTTCAGGAAATATCTAAGTACACAGTTCTGGTAACTCATTTTACCCAAGATCACCAGAATTCCTTGAGCAGAGAGGAAAGCAGAGCCAAGACAGAGAAACAGAGCATTTTATAATTGCTTTATCAGTCTGCTCTTATAATAGTTGAATAATTGCCACTTCCCCATATGCATTTCAGTATTATAATGTCCACATTTAGTGTCACCCAGTGGGACTCCTTGATACCCTTAAGGACCGACCAGTTGATAAGTTCACCTTTTTTTTTGCAATTAATTCTGACCAGATCTTGGGAGGGAGTGGGAGGGCCTGGCCCTGGAATAGTTAGGTGTGCGCGTGCTTGTATGTGTGTGTGTATGGGGGGGAGGAGGTGTAAGGCATCAGCCCATTCCTTTCCCAAGGGGAGGCACCCACCCAGTTGGCTATGGGTCGCCCCCCCCTCCGCAACAGGGATTTCTCTCCGGAAGGGGTGGGTACACTGCTGCAGCCCCCCCCCGCCTGGCTTGATGCTCTAG